TAGATTGCCTAAAACCTGGTCAACTATCCTCTGACATGTTGCTGGGGCTCTTTTAAACCGAATGGCATCTTTAAAAACTCATATATGCCATCTGGGATTATAAATGCGGACTTACATATATCATTTTCAGCCATGGGTATCTGCCAAAATCCAGAGGCTAAATCGATTACCAAATAGAGTTTGTTTCCTCCCAAGATTTCTAACGCATCATCTATACGAGGTAGGGGATAAGTATCTGAGATGGTGAGACTATTCAGACGACGATAATCCACACATAACTGATGTTTCCCATCTTTCTTTGGTACTAGCACTATAGTTGAGGCCCACGGCCTAATTATACCAGCTTGAAGCATTTGTTCTACTAAATCTCTGACAATTTCTCATTGATATGGAGACATTCTGTAAGCATTTTGCTTAATTGGCTTGACATCAGATTTTGTTACTATTTCATGGAATCCTAGGGTGCATACTCCAAGATCGAAACTGTTTTTGGCAAATACGTCTAGGTTTTCTCTCAATACTTCCTCTATTTGTTTTTCAGAATCTTCAGATAAATCATTCCCGATATTAAAAGTAAATGACTCTATGTTTAGTTTTTGATAAGAATGAACGAATAAGCTAACATTTCTTTCCTTCAACGGGTTAGCATTTGGCCTAATAGTATTTGAATCTGTTGCATTACTGTCCGATTGTGATGATAATGACAAGTTAATAAAGGAATATTCTTCACATGGTTTCCCTTTGGCAACTGTAGATTCCGCTGGGAGTAAAACAGGAGTTGGAGTGCTATTTAATACTAGAATTATACATTCATTGTTTCTCACATCACAAATACCTGATAAAACATTGATACCATTCTCGCCCATTTCATGCTTTATTTCTATTGTACCCTGCTTAATTGGACAATGAACTTTTACAGCACGCATAGTAAAAGCATTCACAAGTGTTTCTTCAGTGGTACGGAATTTTGCGTTGCTATGATGTAAGAGAGGCATTTGAATTTGACTAATACAATTCTCTCCCATTGGCACTATAAATAAGTTATCTCTGAAGTTGATGGTTGCTTTCATTTGTTCACAAAAATCACTACCTAGTAATAAATCATGTGGAAAATTTTCCAATACTACAAACACAAATTCAATACTATTTCCCATTATTTGTAGTCTACACATACAAGTACCTTCACACTCTATCTTTCTATTATCTGCTACGATTAGTTTAATAGATTCAGGACGTATTTTTAGTCTTAATTCTATACATAGTTTTTGGCTTATCAATGATTTCTCTGAGGCTGTATCAATGATGGCACTAAACGAAGATCCTTCGATTTCCAAATAAATAGTGCATAACTTTGATTTTGAAATTGTGAGACACTCTAAAAGATAAGGAGAGATTCTAGCTTGAAAACAGGGCTCTCCCTCGGGAGCCCAATCCATTAGTTTTTTTGTTCCTCATTTTGCTTTTTGAGTTTATCCATGAGTTGGCGCATTTTTTCGAATGCATAAAATTTTGGATATTTACAGCTTTTCTTATAATGACCTCTTTTCCAACAGTTATGGCAAATAATATCGTGAGAACTTTCTTCTGAGACTGTCTGATTTCGAGATATAGCATGTTCTGGTTGTATGTCATTGTTTCTATTGTTAGTCCTCCTAAAGGTTTTAGAACACTTATTGTATACGGATTTTCTTTCACAGTCCACTAGTTCACGATTTTGACGACTCGATTGTTCTTTGTAAAAATGGCTGTTAAGTCTTAGGTGACTTTGAAACTCCATTAGGCCTGTTTGAACATTCACCTACACTGAAACTTTTGTAGTATTTTTCGTGCTCTCTCTTTGTTATCGAATCTAATTCCATAATGGCGTTGGTATAATCATCTAAGGTATGGAATGTTTTATTCGCAATAGACATTCTTTCTTCCTTTTGCAGACCATTGTTTAATACAGTTGTCCCTCTATAGTCCGACGTTTTTTAATCCGACATGCTCAGTAGTCCGACGCACCTCCCGTCAAGGTATCCGTCCCCGTTATGTGTCTGCTTGCACAGAAGCATGTCGTGATGTGAATCTCCCCATCCAATTTTTACACGATGACACACATTTCGTGTGTTTTATGTGAGCAGTTCTGTTCGAACAGTTGGAGTAGAGAATATTGTAAGTTACTGCTAGCAAAACAATGCGAAATATGTAATTATTTTCGGTAATCCGGACACTTTTGGTAATCTGACACACCTTTGGTCCCATACCTGTCGGATTATCAAGGGACAACTGTAGTTCGATTTTTTCTATCTCCAAATATTCATGATTTAAAGAATTAATTAATTCTAATTTATCTAACACATAAGAAAAGGACAATTCTAATTTCCCTTGAATTCTGTCATACATTTCAATTGTCTTCTTTACAGTGGAATCTGTTTCATACTATTTCTTAATCTGTGCTTTCAATCTAGTCCAGGTCAATTCATATCCTTTTGCCTCTTCTAGCCTAATTCTTTTTACCAAATCTATTGCCTGATTGTAACTTTAGTGTGGAAATAAATGTTGTATCGTCTAATTCGAAACATTCCTTTATCCCTTGCAGCTTTTCCAGCCAAATATTTATATTTTGTGGAACAAAAATGGGCCAAGATATTAACTTTTGTGGAATAGTAGGACCTTTCGGAAGTGTAGGACTGATCGAAGGATGTGAGTCAGCACATTTCACATTTACAAACGTATTCTCAAGTTTATTAAATCTAGTTTAAAATTCCTCCCTAATTTGGTTTATTAAATTAATCACCAGGTTAATAGGAGAAACAGACGAAACGTCCGACTTTCTATCATCCTCTAGAACAGTAGGGGAAGGTTCTCGTTCCATTCCCGAGTTTTCGATGTTCCTGAGTCTATTTTTTTCTTTTTTCTCAAGATTTTTAATTTTCTCTTGTAATTCACAAATAATTGATTTTAGTTGCATAATTTTGTTATCTTTAGAAGCAATTCTATCCTCTAAAATATCAATTTTGTCTTTCATGGTCAACTTTCTCGGCATTTTGGTTAGATACAATAATTCCTGTCACAATTTAATATTGAGTTACCCAAACTGTAACTTATTTTATGATTATACTGTATATAATAATCCCTGGTCGCAAAACCCAATTATCGCTGGACCTTATGTATGAGACAAAGGAACAATGAACTTACCGTTTTCTCTTCCTTTCAAGTTGAACCTTGCTGTCGTTTTTTTTTTGGGCTCTTTTCTTTTTATTCAGATGTGATGAACCTCTGTCCTCACTGGTGGCTCCAATTTGTTACGTCTAACGGGAATCTTAGCCAGGCACAAGTTCAAAGTGGTGAGTCCGTACCCAAGGTTCAAATCTATTCTGGGGTATACGTTCGTTCTTCTTGCTTCTCGCACTCGCCGACATCCTAACAACCAGTGACCAAACCACAAAGTGTCTGACCTTGCGGTTCCTCTCATACTGCACAGGATTACTCTCGTAACGACTTCCGTTTCCGTGGCTAGGGGTCTTCTGTCTTAGGGGCGTTTAGTCATAATCCCACGAACAATAGCTTTGTGCCACTGGCCACTCGACCAAGCACATGTACGGTACAAAGTGTCCGTTACATGCAGTTTACAGACTATGGCTGTTTGAAAGGTTTTCTTCCATAAAATTAATCGATTCTAGACTAATTTGAATCAACATTTCCAAAACACATATAATTTTTTGGGAATAATCCATATAAACTATGTTATAAACAAAAAATTGTAGGATTACTTACCGTGTGTGCATCGTTTGACGATGCTATTGCTTAAACTTGTTTTTGTCGTGGAGTGGCGCATCGAACGGCGGGTGCATGTTTTCTGATAAATTATTTTTCTGCGAAAAATTTGCTGAACTTTGGAGACATCATTAATATAAATATAATTTTTATGAATGTTAAATAATAAATGGTTTTTAGTAGGTCCACTGCTCGTTTAAACTCAACGGTTTGTGCAATATCTGCTATTGGTCTAGATTCGACCAATCCTGTCATGACACGAGTCAGCAATGACATTTTACCATATCATATGAGTCTCTTTTAGCATATTTATACAAATATGGTCGCAATTTTTTTGCTGTTATATATGAATCCATATTATATGAACCTGTTTTATAGGGATCTACTGTACTTTTTTATATAAAACATGAAAAGTTTAATATATATTTATTTGTATAAATCAGGTGTGGCCAAACTTTTATCCCTTAGGGGCTACTTTTTTGGTAAAATATAGTCTGCGGGCAACTATGAATATGGGCAAACAATTTTAGGATTTTTATATGCGCATGTGTTAACATTCATTTGCATTGTTCATCGGGATAAATACAAACAGTATGTGTACGTTGCACAGATAGTCTATTATTGTAAGAAGAAATTATCGAATTAAGATTTTTAAACATTAATTTAAGTGAAAGCAAATTGTTCAACTTTGGCTTTGCAGGCTACTTTCAAAACCTTTGCGGTCGACCGGTCAACCGTGGTCTACGTGTTAGCCATTCCTGGTATAAATAATTACTCTTTTTAAGAAGACTTTTTACATTAAATATGATTTTTTGATCTAGCCACATTTAATTTTAAATAAGAATAATGTCAAATAAACTACTATAAAATATTTTCTATTATTTATTATATCCAAAAATTTTTTTTAATATGTACTCTGTGACTAATTATTTCAGATATTCTTTTTATCAAAAGAGGAAATTCAACAAACTTTGACAACATTAAGATATTGTTTATCTTAACTCATTTATAAATAATTAAAGTTTATTAAATAAAATATTATAGTTAATTAATAAAAATTAATTAATAAAATTAATTATTGATATAGTTTTAAAAGATTAAGTATCAATAGTTTAATAATAAAAAATATATAATTAATTAATGGTATTACATTTATTATGTAAAAAATTATTGCCCTTTGAAATGATCTTAAGTAATGGAAATATATAATTAACTTATTAATTAGAATTTTTGTTTTATAGTGAACATTCTATTAAAAAATCAGATAAATGGGATTATGTAGTACTTGCTCAACAGTGGCCTCCTGCAGTTTGTCGTAATGAAGTAGTCAAAAAAGTAAATTCATTATTTAAAAAATTTAATAATAAGTTTACAAATTATATTTTATAATTTAAAAATTAAATATAACAAGATACCCTATTTTACTTATAGTGTGTAATTCCTGCTAATGTAACAAGCTGGACTGTTCATGGCATTTGGTATGTTTTGAAAGATCTCTTCTTTAGATTAAAACTTGGTTACAATATTAATTATAGTACTTAATAATAGACACATAAGTAAAAAGGTTATTTGTGTTGCAATGTAACAGTGTTCCCCAGAAATTTTTATCAGCTGGATGGAATGAAGAAGTATCCATGTGACAAAAACTCATGCATTATTATAAAATATTATNTTATATTTGTGATTTCTTTCATAATGCCTCCTAAGTGCTTGTTGTATGTAAATTTTGTGTATTTAGATGGACCTTGTACAGATTTTATATCATTACTAGCTTCTAATTTTCTAATAATTCCCTTTACAACATTCCTCTTGTAACCCAATGTTCCTGCCAACTGCATAATTCTTTCTATCTCTGCATCCCGGTCTATAATGTTTTTGCAGTATATAAAGGCCCTCCTAACCAATGCTCAAAACGCTGCTAATTTATACCTATAAGGGTCATTAGAGCTTGCAGGGATATATAGTGGGCTATATGTTGGTTTAATGAATATACTGGTGGATATATGTCCTTTGCTAAATATGATATTAATGTCTAAGAAATGTACCATTTTAGAGCTTTTTTGCTCTAGCTTCAACCTAAGGCATTCCTCGTTATCGTTAACTCTATCTACAAATTTAGCAATTACTCAATTGTTTTTCCATATAATGAATATATCATCTACATATCTCTTATAGTATACAATATCTCTTTTGAAGCTACGCAGAACTTTTCCTTCTAGTTTTCTAACAACAAGCTCGCATAGGAGCCCTGAAATTGGGCTTCCCATTGGGACCCCCCTATTTTGCTTATAAGTTTGGCCTTCGAAAGCAAAGAAGGATTTGCAACATACTAGGTTAACCATCTCTGCAACCTTCTTACTGTGATGTGCTAACATTGGGTTTACTCTATTCAAAAACTCCAAAAGTGCTTCTACACAAGATTCAATCTTAATAGAAGGGTACAAACTTTCGTAATCTAAAACAGTTCCCACTTCTTCATCCATTAAGGTAATGCCTTGTAGTTCTTTGACCACCATTACAGGATCCTTTGCCACCAATTCATCACTTTCCATCATGGAGGAGATATACTCTTGCAATCTGGAAATAAGACCTATCGTGGAAAAATGAAAAGCACCCACATTTTTCCTGGAAAAAAGATTGGAGCGGCGCATCGAACGGCAGGTGCACGTTTTCTGATAAATTATTTTTCTGTGAAAAATTTGCTGAACTTTGGAGACATCATTAATATAAATATAATTTTTATGAATGTTAAATGATAAATGGTTTTTAGTAGGTCCACTGCTCGTTTAAACTCAACGGTTTGTGCAATATTTGCTATTGGTCTAGATTTGACCAATCCTGTCATGACACGAGTCAGCGATGACGTTTTACCATATCATACGAGTCTCTTTTAGCATGTTTATACGAATATGGTCGCAATTTTTTTGCCGTTATATACGAATCCATATTATATGAACCCGTTTTATAGGGGTCTACTGTACTTTTTATATAAAACATAAAAAGTTTAATATATATTTATTTGTATAAATCAGGTGTGGCCAAACTTTTATCCTTTAGAGGCTACTTTTGTGGTAAAATATAGTCTGTGGGCAACTATGAATATGGGCAAACAATTTTAGGATTTTTATATGCTCATGTGTTAACATTCTTTTGCATTGTTCGTTGGGATAAATACAAACAGTATGGGTATGTTGCACAGATAGTCTATTATTGTAAGAATAAATTATCGAATTAAGATTTTTAAACATTAAGTGAAAGCAAATTGTTCAACTTTGGCTTCGCAGGCTACTTTTAAAACCTTTGCGGTCGACTGGTCAATTGTGGTCTACGTGTTGGACATCCCTGGTATAAATAATTACTCTTTTTAAAAAGACTTTTTGCATTAAATATGATTTTTTGATCTAGCCACATTTAATTTTAAATAAGAATAATGTCAAATAAACTACTATAAAATATTTTCTATTATTTATTATATCCAAAAAATTTTTTAACATTTACTCTGTGACTAATTATTTCAGATATTCTTTTTATCAAAAGAGGAAATTCAACAAACTTTGACAACATTAAGATATTGTTTATCTTAACTCATTTATAAATAATTAAAGTTTATTAAATAAAATATTATAGTTAATTAATAAAAATTAATTAATAAAATTAATTATTGATATAGTTTTAAAAGATTAAGTATCAATATTTTAATAATAAAAAATATATAATTAATTAATGTATTACATTTATTATGTAAAAAATTATTGCCCTTTGAAATGATCTTAAGTAATGGAAATATATAATTAACTTATTAATTAGAATTTTTGTTTTATAGTGAACATTCCATTAAAAAATCAAATAAATGGGATTATGTAGTACTTGCTCAACAGTGGCCTCCTGCAGTTTGTCGTAATGAAGTAATCAAAAAAGTAAATTCATTATTTAAAAAATTAAATAATAAGTTTACAAATTATATTTTATAATTTAAAAATTAAATATAACAAGAGACCCTATTTTACTTATAGTGTGTAATTCCTGCTAATGTAACAAGCTGGACTGTTCATGGCATTTGGTATGTTTTGAAAGATCTCTTCTTTAGATTAAAAGTTGGTTACAATATTAATTATAGTACTTAATAATAGACACATAAGTAAAAAGATTATTTGTGTTGCAATGTAACAGTGTTCCCCAGAAATTTTTATCAGCTGGATGGAATGAAGAAGTATCCATGTGACAAAAACTCATGCATTATTATAAAATATTATCATCTGCAAATGCAATCTCTCTTTCCATACATATATACTTACAGTATATATGTATGTACAGTAGTCACAAAATTCTTTTGACATCACATGCAGAGGCAGAAACTTATGTACTGTAATTGCTTAGAAATCCTGGAATGATCACACCAAAGCAATGCAATTTGAAGAGGACTGTTCTATTTTGAGCTGATTGTCCATACTGGAAGATAAGGAATCTATAAACCTGATGTGTCAATTTTCTATTAAAGTGACTTGTCATTTGTCTTTACATATTAATATATTTAATGACATTAATTATTTTAGTATTTTTACAAATGATCCATTTTCCTTGTAAACTAAATAACTGATAAACAGCATTAACTCCATACATTACAGACTCTATATTTATGTCAATGAATTCAAATCGACAAATTTTTTAACTTTTCTAGTCAAAATTAGAATCACTTTATCTTTAAAATATTCATATATATAGACTTTTATTCATAATCATATAATTAATTTAAATGAATGTGTATGTAATTTTTAAATGCATTATGCATATTTAATGTATCATAATTATTTGTGAATAAAAATATCATTATCTAAAATCCAATAGTTACTTATTATAGCCAAACAATTGGCAGATTATACTATTATGGCTACATTACTACTATTATTGTAGTAGCAGTAGTAGTAATGTAGCTCGATATAATCCGGCAATCATTTTGCTTTAATATATTTGTGAATAGAATGAAGGATAATAGGAATATAAAAATGATGATTGATTTGTGTACTTTCAGTTTAGCAAGGAAACTAGTATAGTGTTCTACTGATAAAACATTCTATGTGTCATTTTTTCATTTAATTTTGTTTAATCATGAAGTTAAAATGAAAAAGCAAAATACAGGCATTACCTGACTTGAATAAACATTATTTTCCAGAAACACATGTATAAATTGAAATCTGTTTATTGATAATGAAATAAGTTACTTTGGTATGAAGTGTAATTAGAGAAAAAAATAATTAAGATTGGATATATTGTAAAAATAAAAAAATTTAATCTATTGTGTTGTATTTAAAAGCATAATGGATAGGTATATCAACTATACTTTTATCATCAGAGATGATACTTTTACACTTATAAAATGAATTTAATTATAGTAAATTATAGAATTGAATTATTTTTACAGTGATTTTATTAGTTTTATAAATATAATCTTATGAAAAAGTTTTTCTGTAACTTCAAGTTTGTGTAAAAATATATCTATAATTTATGTTCATTTGTTTAAAAGTTTGTGTGTGGTGATTTTGTTTAACAAATAGGATAATGATAATCTTTGCCTTCACAATATAAATTATGTATTCAACATTAATTCAAATGTCTTTAATTTAATAACTAATATAAATATAAATTCATACTATGGCACTTTTTATACTATTAATCATTCAATTTTTTTAATATTTATCACTTCAGTTTTAAATGCCATAAAACTTATTAATGCCAAGAACAAATCTGTTATCTTAAAAAGTCTATAAAATCTAACATAAAAACTATATTAATTAGTAACACAAATAAACTGTGGTGTTTACTATGTGTCAGAAAAAAGTTTCAGCAATTAAACAAGTACAAACAAAATCAACATATTATTTTGTATTAATAATTAAAATAAGATTTGTTTATTTGTATTTAACTCTTTTGAGTAATATACTGTATATACTGTATTTTATAATGCAAGTTATATGCATATGAAAAAATAAATATTGTACTTTTGTAATTCTATAGAAATTTTTGTAACTACAGAAATTAGTAATTGCATGTCATTTTTAAATTTCAGGCCAACTGGTAAACATAGTGATCCAAGGTTTTGCAATGATTCTTTGGGATTTAATGTCTCTCAAATACAGGTATGTAAACAAATACAGACGACCCCCCTATAACACGGTAGATAAGTTCCGAGTTTTATGAATCCAGCTTCTAGGATTCCAGCCAATCACAGCCAGGCACGTATGCAGTTTACCGGCTATGGCTGTTTGAAAGGTTTCTTCCATAAAATTAATCGATTCTAGACTAATTCAACTCAGCCTTTCCAAAATACGTATAATTTTTTGGGAATAATCCATATAAACTATGCTATAAACAAAAAATTGTAGGATTACTTACTGAGTGTGCACCGTTCNGTATTCATTTTATTGAATTTATATAATAGATGTTTATTTATTTATTTTTGAAAATTCCTTTTAAAACTTACTTTAAAACCATTTTTTGATGATTATCATTGTGTCTGTGTTTATAATGCTTCACATTTATGTGCCTATACCAATAATGTTAAGATAATAGTGATTCTTTTTCTCTGCAAAGTGATTTGTTTCATCTTGCTAAATGCTTGGAAACATTGAATTTATGAATTAATTTTTTAAAATCAGCTACAATGTGATTTTTTGTATTTCCACCCATATCCCGAGTTATCTCAGGCATGGACTTTAAAGTTCCATTAAAAAGCCTTGACATAACTTTTCCAAAAATGTATGGATCAGTATATATGCATCGTTATCTATGATCTGTGTAAATTTCATGAATTATTTTTGCAGCGAAAATATTTTACGACAATTTATTAATTAGGTAATTAATCACGCTATTGTTTTTATGGGAGTTTTTTAATCAAATTAATTAATTCGTTCTAAATTTGTTTCATCAATTTGACTTCGGTAAAATTTTTAAAAACGCTATTGGATGTTTTATATGACATCAGCGGGTTTTTTTTTTGTTTTTTGTTCAGTAGAATTTTTTTCATATAACTTTTTTTTCGGTCCCCTCATAATTTAATAGCATAAAAATCAACAATATTGTGTTATGTTTGAACAGATGCAGTAAGCTAGCTCCCCTCCTGCTTTAAACCAGTGTTCCGCAACCTTTTTCTACTTGCGGCACACCCATGACTCACCCACAGCACACCAAAATGTTATTCCCCTCAAAAACGTATATTCTACTATTAATAGAATTACGTAATGCCACTAACCTATTATTATTGTTATTAAACAGACATCAACACCTACCTGTGAGCAAATTAATTTTACATATAATTTCTTAGAATACATAAAAATGCGTGGCTTGTAAAAATAAACAAACATCATCTTATTTCATCAGTGCTGCAGCAGAAAATGAAATACAAGCATAAGAAACACAACAACTGTGATAAAAATATATAAATAAAACTTGAAATTAACAGAATATGTAAAAGTTCACGTCACACCTTTNNNNATATAAACTATGCTATAAACAAAAAATTGTAGGATTACTTACCGAGTGTGCACCGTTCGACGACGCCATTGCTTAAGCTTGTTTTCATCGTGGAGCTTGTCATCGAATGGCGCTCGTGTGCTTCCTGATAAATTATTTTTTTTGCGAAAAATTCGCTGAACTTTGGAGACATCATTAATATAAATATAATTTTTATGGACGTTAAATAATAAATGGTTTTTGGTAGGTCCGCTGCTCGTTTAAACTCAATGGTTTGTGCAATCCTGTCATGACACGAGTCGGCGATGACGTTTTACCAAATTATAGGAGTTTTTTTAGCATGTTTGTATGAATACTGTCGCAATTTTTTCGTCGTGATATAGGAATCCGAACTATAGGAACCCATGTTATAGGGGGGTCGAATGTATATAGGTATATAATAAAGTATTCATTTTATTGAATTTATATAATAGGTGCTTATTTATTTATTTTTGAAAATTCCTTTTAAAACTTACTTTGAAACCATTTTTTGATGATTATCATTGTGTCTGTGTTTATAATGCTTCACATTTACCAATAATGTTAAGATAATAGTGATTCTTTTTCTCTGCAAAGTGATTTGTTTCATCTTGCTGAATCCTTGGAAACATTGAATTTATGAATTAATTTTTTAAAATCAGCTACAATGTGATTTTTTGTATTTCCACTCATATCCCGAGTTATCTCGGGCATGGACTTTAAAGTTCCATTAAAAGCCTTGACATAACTTTTCCGAAATGTATAGATCAGCATATATGCATCATTATCTTTGATCTGTGTAAATTTCATGAATTATTTTTGCAGCGAAAATATTTTACGACGATTTATTAATTAGGTAATTAATTGTGCTATTGTTTTTTTTATTGGAGTTTTTTAATCAAATTAATTAAATCATTCTAAATTTGTTTCATCAATTTGACTTTGGTAAAATTTTTTAAAACACTATTGGATATTTTTTATGACATCAGCAGGTTTTTTTGTTCAGTAGAATTTTTTTCATATAACTTTTTTTTTCGGTCCCCTCGTAATTTAATAGCATAAAAATCAATAATATTGTGTTATGTTTGAACAGATGCGGTAAGCTAGTTCCCCTCCTGCTTTAAACCAATATTCCCCTGAAGTGTACATGAGAACTACCTGGGAAAGCGGACTCCAGCTGTTCTCAAGCTCAACCAGTTTGTAAACAATGTAGACTGTACTGTACAGTACTTGTGAAATTTCACGCCTTGTTAAACAAAAGAATAACAATTTTTACAGCTATATTTTTCAAATAAAAGCATTTATTTTAGATTATTTTTATTTTTTTATATACTTTTTTTGTAAAAGCACATTTTGGAGGGGTTTTTATTTCGCGGGAATTATTTCCCGGCAATTTTTTTTTGTCTGTCAGATTTGCGTTTAAGCGGAAATAATTATTTCATATAAAAAATAAATTTTTTGTGGATTTCTTAGTTGCATTTGAAGCGAAACAAATGTATCGAAAGAGTTAGGACTATTTTTTTTACTAATATTCAGCCATTAATAGATTATGGTCTTCCCAATTGGGTGTCAGCTTCTCCATCATCACTTGTAAAGTAGTTTGTCCATTAAATAAGACTTAATTTATTAAATAAAAACCAAGTCAATTACTTTACACTGAATCACTGCTAACTGTGCAATCTTGTTTGGGTTCCCCAAGTTCTTCAGGCATAGTCAATATTCTGACATAATTATTTTTTTAAGAAACTGGAAGGCTTGAGTACATCTTGTGACATTGATTTACATGTACCTGTTAAAATTACTCAGCAAGACACTTGTTTGTATTTTTATAACTACAGATTAAATGTAACTTGGTGCTCCTGCTTATGCTTTTATGAATATGGCTGAGGTTGAACATTTGTTACATGTTCCATGTGTGATGCTTAAATGAATGTGTAAACTCTTTATTGATGATTATATGTAATTTTGTTTTCTTTTGATTTTAAAGGGATCATTTTTTTTATGTTGTTAAACAGAAAGTAGTTATCTCTAGTATTTGTAAAAGTACACACACACACACACACACACACACCAGTAGAATCTGTCCAAAATGGAATCTGAGTAGAACAGAAACCTAATTAAACAGAAAAAGTTCCTCAGAGAGGAGCTATTTTCTATGTTAAAAAAAAAACTATTCAAAACAAAAACCTACCAAACTGGAAAATATATGGTACCATGTGATTCCTGTGTATACAGGTTTTACTTTACATATAAAATTATTTTAAAATGTTATTTTTTTAAAACATTCAGGTGCATGACAAGGCATATCAATATATATTTGATAATAACAGAGATTAGATTTTTTATATTCAAGCAACTAACTTAGGTTACAATATCATTATAACATAGATATAATGTATCAGTAATTTATTATGATATTCTGTTCAAAATTCATTTATCCAATATAATACAAAGAGAAATCTGCCCGAAATTTTGTGCCTATCTCAGTTATCATTTTGTCATGAATTGCTATTCTCTAGCTATCATTTTATTTTAGATTAATTTTATACTTTAATGTTAAGCTGTATATTTATTATTTTTAATCATTAAATTTGATAAGATTCTGTTTGTTATGTCTATATAAATAAAAATGTAAATGTTTGTTTGTTCAAAATCTTAAATCTCCGAAAGTTCTTAACCGATTGCTTTGAAATTTTGACACAACGTTGCATTCAAATATGCGCGTTTTTATATTATATAGATGTCGAAATCCCCTGCAGGGGAGAGGGACAAAATTAAGGCTTACTGTGAAGAACTGGTCTTCTATTATTCTATTTTAGCGTTTTTTGTTTTAGGTTTTTTGCGTTTTTGTTTTGTGTTTTGTTTTAGGTTTTTTGCGTTTTAATAGGATACATCAAGAGAATGTACACTAAGAAGGGATTTATCGAAATTCCCTCCTGGGAGGAGTGTTATACATTTATAATAGATACAGCTAGTTATACATAAAAAATATATATGTACTCATAAATTAATCTAGAACTGGATTATTGTAAAGTATATAAAGAACTAGCCTATTCCAGCAACCATTTTTATTTAATGTAACATTTTTGCCATCTATCATAGTAATATATTCAAATTCTAAATCTTATGTCCCTTACACTATGGCACATTGATGAAATAAAGCAGTATTCGACTTACTATGCACATATGCTATTGCTTCTCCAAATTTTAAATTAGTTATTTTTTTCTAATTAACATTTATATATTTTTTATAACTGCTGAATTATTGAAAGTTGAAAGTATACATAGTATTTTCTGTATGTATTGGTGAAATACGTTCCTTATCATGTTTGCATACTTTCATTTTTAAGAAGACAGTTGATTTGATACAAAGTAAGATATTACTATTATGTTCAGTTTTATTTACTTTTTTATGTTTAATTAATGTTATACTTACACCTAGCTCTTAATTTTAGTTACTGAGGAGGCCATAAAATGTAAGTCGGCTCAAAATGCATCTAGTTATATATATATAATCAACCAAATTAAACATAATTAAACCATAGTTTTGGATCATTGAATTACCAGTAGTGTTCCTATACACCTGCAGATGCAGGATTATGGAATTCCCAAGAATTTTCTAATAAGTCGTATACTTTTTAAAAAGTTG